CCTGCTGCTACTACTAAGGGTCGTAATTTAGAAAATGGAACTCCACTTTCCAAAGTGCTTGAGACTCTGCTGTTTAGTTCTCTAAACATCTTTGGTCATTAGTATGATACAGCCATAAAATAGATCACATTGTTTTCTTGGGGAAAGCATTCTTAATATTTCTTTTCATTGTAAGACTGGAGAGCTGTGTGTCATGAAGAAATACCTGAGTTTCTGGAAGTTCAGGAAGTCTAAGAGTTTAGTGGATGTTGTTTGTTCTTGAAATGATGGGGCTGTCGTTCTGCTTCAACCTAAACCTCTTAAAATTTATCTTTGCAGCCTATTCAAATTATCAACAGTACTATTGAAATGGTAAAACCAGGGAAACTTCCCAGTGGCAAGACAGAAATTCCATTTGAATTTCCATTGCATGTGAAGGGGAACAAAGTTCTGTATGAGACATATCATGGTGTCTTTGTTAATATTCAGGTAAGGCAGTCATATCTGTAAAGAAAACCTGAACTCTTGTTACCTGCAGAATGTATTCTAAAGCATCTCTTATTCCATGGAAGCAGAGGATAAAGTTTTGTCATAAAGTTTTGTTTTCATAATGCAATGTTTTCTTTTCTCAATTTGAAGAATGAGCAGAAAGTTAGAGATCCTTTGAAGTAAGTAGCTTTTAAGCTTCCCTTTATTAATATAGCATTCTTGTGGTGTGTACTCTATTTTCTAGATATAACATAAAATTAAAAATCATGATACATGTTAACCTTTTAAGTACTAGTTTGTAGGTAGTTTCTAGTTGCCTTTTTCAGTTCCGGTTTCTAGGAGTCAACACTTTCCACAGGTGGTGACACTTCTTAAATGTGGCGAAGGAACCATCCTGAGATCTCGGAATCCCATTGATATAATACTGCTTTTAAGAAATTGTTTTGATGTCTGTTCCCTTTTCTCTTCCAGCAAGTTCAAGCTTTTCATTGGAAATAGTTGATGGTAATGAAACTGATCAGATGTAATGTGGGATGTACAAGAGAGAATTAAAAGCATCCTGGAAAGAGGGGCTTTGGGTTGAGAAAGGATCAAGTGTATTTGCCACGCTTGTTAAATCTTGTACAGTTCTCTTACATGGTGACGTTTTCATCTAGTTCCGATTTTATTGTGAAAGAAGTTGCATTTACGATTTTGTAGGTAATCTATATAGTAGTACATACCCAGATACAAGTGTGTGTACAGTTACGAAGTTTCACTGGTACTAGGTTTAGCATAGTAGACAGACAATTACTGCTAATAATACTTAAATATTAAAAATTAAGTGTACTGACTTACCAGATCCATTTTAAGACACAGGGGTAAGTCTTACAGGAACAAAGCTACCTAGTGTTCAGTCTGTTTTCCTGCATTCATTTGTGAGAAGTGTCCTCTAACTAGAGGAAATCTTTCCGTCACTTACTGTTTTCAGGCCTTCCATATGGAGTAAATCTTTAAAGAATGATGGCATAAACAGACCAGTAAAGAGATGTCTTGCCTGAAATACCTTGTCAGAACTGCTGTAACATATATGTGATCCCTCCTTATGTTGTAGACAACTACATCCATTCCCTTCATGAAAAAAGACTGCACCACGTTGTCCTTTTGTTCAAATGTGGTTGTGTAATTTCATAATGAAGACTCAAACAAAAGTGTTGAGAGCTTGTAGCATCTTCAAAAACATGAATTGTTTGCTTTCTTGTGGAGATGAGTAGTAACATTTCCTGCCCAAATCTGTATGTACTACATGCTTGTAACAGAATCTTGTGGAAAAACAATTTTGAAATTTGACCTTTGTTGGTTAAAAAATGGCTTACTGTAGGTGGGTTGGTTTGTTTGGGTTTTTGTGGTTGGGTTTTTTTGAGGGAGAGTCTTTCTTCAGCCATCTCTTAAATGTAAATATTATGTGGGACAATGTTTTTTTTCTTACTGAGGAGTGTTTTTTGGTTTGGTGTTTGGTTTGGTTTTTTTTTTCTTCAAGGAAAAAGTTGAAGGAGCCACTAAATGCAAAAAATTTCAGACCAGTGCTGATGAAGAATCACTGGCTTGTAAAACTTTTTTTTCCCTCCCCCAGCCCCGCCTTGTAGCTCACTGATGAGAGTATTGGATTGGATGACAAAGTATAAAACTGTTAGCTATTTAGCTGAACTGGAAGTCTTACATCACAGTCTGGGATTTAAAACAACTGTAACAAATGAACCAAAAACCCACAAAAAAATCCCCACCTGATAGGCTATCAGAAGTGACTAAAAGAAAAATTCCCTTATGTTTTTTGTCTACGTTCAGATGGGTTTTTTTCAGTACTTCCCATAGCTCTTTTCAGTCTTGGCTTTCTTCCTAATGTAACTGTTTGTGGTAGGTATGTCAAAAATGGTGCAAAACTGGTTGAGTTGCTTTCCATAATCCAGATCACTTGCCTATGATCAATATCAGTTGTTCTGAGGTATACTTTAATGGTGAATATTTGTTTTGTTTTGTCATTCCCTCTCTTATCTATGTAGCTTCTTTTTACAAGCTGGGGATAAAATGTAATTAAAAGGTTAATCATTAGGCTTCAGCCAACCTTTGAGAGTCCTGCTCTCCTGAAGAGGAAAATGTAGTCTCTCCCAAGGTTATTTAAGGTGCACTGATACCTGATAAAACAGATACATAGATATAAATTGGGGAACGTTAAGTCTGTTTTCTAGAATATCAGGCTTGAACTGCTTAAAAATATTTTGCTAGTTTTAAATAAATCAAAGGAAAGAGTTCATTTGCTTCTAACATGTTTACACCTCTTCTCTGTCCAAATCAAGAAATGGAAAAATAGACTAAAAACAGTATAACACCTACTTACTTCTTCATTTGAGTAACTAAAGGTGCTGTTTAAGAAACACTTCCTAGACCTCTGTCCAAGTCCCATGAAGTTTAAAAGCAAGCCTCTATTTCTTGATCTAGGTATTAGTATGTTAGCTGGGGGTTCAGTATCAAGATTCAAGTCTCTGTTCGCATGCAGAGACCTTCTAATGAGAGACTGATGGGGAGGCTGTGGGCCAAATTGCAAGGCCTGTGTGGTCCTGCTGCCTCATTGCAACATGTTCCCTCATCCGAGTGAAGCGTGGTGCAGTAATAGGTTTGCTCAGCAGTCATCAACTTCAGTGGAAACCATAGTCTGTGATGGGGAAAGGGATATGCTCCCCGGTCTCATTCTTGCATGCATATTCAGGTTATGTGCGGAGACACACTGTGACCTAGAAGTTATGAAGCTGAGTCCCTAGTCTGAGTGCATCTGTTTTTGCAAATTCCTTATCTGTAAAGAAGGAATGAAAAACAAAATGACAGAAAAACCCTACCCCAACAAATTTCCTATCTTGTAAGGACATTGAAAGGCTATGTTACAGATGCTGAAGTGTATGATAACTGTGATAACCAAGGTCATAGTATTTTTCAGTCACTGGTTTATGGCTCCCTTCTTAAGGGAGAAAGCGGAGGAAATCGGCAGCAGGTTTTTGAACAGTAACAGCAAAATTAACCTTATTGCCTCACTTTACTGCATGCTGCTGCTTTTAAGTTCAGCTATATGGTTAAAGACAGTTCCGCATTAAATATGCATGTAACTGTTACCACTGTTAAATTCAGTCTTACAATAAATTTAAGATTAGAGGGGCTGTGAATATATCTTATTGATAATCACTTATCCAAAGTATCGTGAAAAGCAACGCCCTAATCGCTCTTAACTGAACGTAATTTGGGTGCGGAAGAAGTGCAAGAATATTGCTCTCCATCAGTGAATTAGTCCCTCCATCTCACAGGTTGTTACGTAACACAGAAGATAGGGGAAGCATTTGCACATGACTACAGGACTGTAAACACAAAGAAAAATCAGCTTTCATTTGGGAGCATCTAAAATCACTGTATACTTCTTATCTCCTTCCCCTCTCCCCATCACTGTTATGTGCATTGCCTACTAATCTGTTTTAAATGATGCCTTAAATGTTAATATCAATAACATTCTGCACATATGCAGTAAAAGGATGAAAAGTTGAGAGATAGAGAGGAGAAGAGAGCCTTAACTAAGGCTCTCTTCTTTTTCTCTGCCATCCTATTCCTGCCAGTATACCCTACGGTGTGATATGCGACGTTCTCTGCTGGCAAAAGACCTAACTAAGACCTGTGAATTCATTGTCCACTCACTGGTAAGTGTGGTTTGTGTTAACTATACAAAGTGAGATTTTTTTTTTTTTTTTCACTTTAAGTGAAGTTTGGCTGTAAGGTTGGAAAGCCCAGTAAACCCATGTAATTTGTAATAGCAACACACAGGATATGTATGAGTAAAGGAAGCTATAGCCTCACAACAAAAGCATCCAGAAGAGCTAGGGTGTCAGTTGCTTCTGATTAGAATAACGCATCTGTCTTTTCATTTAAAGAAAATAGTACAAAGAGGATTTGGATTATAAGATGTCTTTATACTGTACTGAGTTTATTCTCGTATTCATCCTTTCAGTTCTGAAACAGTGGTGTGGCTAGATAAATATTCTGGCATTCTTCTAAACACTGTTTCAGCGTATCTGAGCATTTCTTAGCCCAAGGTTCCAGGCATCCACAATACCTGTCCTAGAAATGGGAGTTCGTTGGTGAAGAGAAAATATCTGATTTCTGTTCTTCAGATGACTAATTATGATTTAGAGCCCTGACTCAAAGTATCAAAGCTGGGACTGCATCAAGTTGGAAATAAGAAGCTTGTCAGCTTAATCACCTTTGCTATAAAATAAGCTCATGGATGGCAATACAGTAAGATAACTAGGTTAACAAATATCCATGTCCTGCGGTTAGCAACACAGAGACAGCCTTCCTCCTGTGGAGATATCATTATGGGATGAGATTTGACTGTCTTGCAAGAAATGCTTTGCTGCTTGTTATTTGAAGTTCCTATATCAGATTGGTTTTTAGTTTATATTGACTTGTATACATGTCCAGAGCATCTGATGTCAGTACAGACTGTGCAGGCCTAATTATTTATTTCTTTTTCCACCCAGAACTTGCTAGAGCATACTGTTTGTATCATTCCTTTGAACTCTAACAGGACAGCAAAGTATTAGACTATTTTGTCTTACTTATGAATAATGGTGGAAATATGTTATTTTAGTTCTATAGTACCTTTTCTAAAGATTTAGCTAGGTGCTATAAGGAAGTTTCCTGTCAGTAAGATTTCATTATTTTCTAAAATATATTATGCTACATTTCATTGGTCCATTATTGCATTATAAGTAAGCCACACTTGTCAAAATAGTGAACAAATTACATATTGTGCAGTTTCCTGGTTTTATTTCTTGTTCCCACTACAGCATTTCTTAGATCACAAGTCAGTAAATCATGAATCTCTCAGTCAGGGTGAATTAATGAGGTTTTACTGAACATATAATTCTCACTGTCAGTGCTCAATGTACCATTTCCTTTAGCCTTATTCTTTGCCAGAATTTGTCATTTATGGGAAAATACAGTCAATCTTTTGCTAATATCTTCCATCTTGCAGCTGGGCAGCAGAAGCTATTTTGAATTCTTAAGTAGTGAGGGTAGATCCTAACTGAGTTCAAGTTAAGTCCATCGGTGGTGGTGTGCTCTGCCAACTCCCAGTTACATACAAATGGAGGTCTCATAATTGATGCTGTGCTGGCCACTGA